TTACGCTTTCTATTGTTTTATTATAGATACTAATTTCATTCGCTACATCTACGTTTTTTAAGCTTTCACTATTATCCCGAATTAATTGTTTTAATCTAAATATTGTAAAATAGTTTAATATTTCTAATTTTTTGTTATTAAATAAGTACTTACTAAATTTTTTCTCGCTTCTTGATTATCTTTTATTCTATTAGTTCTAAATATCTTAATTTCATTTAATAGTTTCTTGAAAACTTCGACGATTTCCATGTAGATCTTAAAATCAACCGAACTTTACACATCACGCGCGCACATTATCTTCTTCTGCATTCTCTTCTCATATCACGCCACAAGAAATATCCAATGATAACCACAATGAAGAGTGTAGGAGACTAGGTATTTCGTGCCTCTCTTTGTTCTTTATTTTGTTTTTTTTTCTTTTTGTTAATTTTGTCTGTATATAGAATAACTTTAGTTTATTATTTGTATGCATTTGATACGCCTTGCACATCTGAACGTCAGATCGCTTTTGCCTAAATTAGTAGATGTTAAAACTATATTATGTGATAATCATTTTGATGTTTTGGTTTTGACCGAAACGTGGTTGAATCCAAATACTGAGTACGATTTTGGATTTGATGGTTATAGAATTGTCAGATTTGATAGGACTGATCGTGGTGGGGGTGTTGCGATAGTCTTCCGTGATTACTTTGACTATAAACCTATTGCGGTTGGTGGTGATATTGAGCAGGTCTGGCTTCAATTTTTCTTTCCTAAGTCCTCTATTTTTGTCGGTGGGATATACAGACCGCCTCACATTAATTGTAGAGACTTTTTGAGTAGTGTTGAGGAAGTATACACTACTTGTGTTGCTGAAACCGAAAACATTTTTTGTTTGGGTGACCTGAACATCGATCTTCTGAACGTGGATGGTCCATTTATTAACCTGTTTCATGAATTCTTGGATGTATGCTCGGCTGTGCAACTAATAGGTGATCTGACTCGTGTGACCAATGCTGTTATGACATTGTTGGATGTCATCGTCACATCTTGCTGTCGTTTGGTGAGTGTTAGTGGTGTATTGCCGTGTGATTTGTCTGATCATGACTTGATTTTTTGCGAAATAGATTTGAAAGTACCTAAGATTCCTCCTCGGTTATTAACCGTGCGTATGCTGCGTGGTGTCGATGAGTGTGCTTTCAATAGCGATCTGCAGTCGGTGCCTTTTCACAAAATATTTTTCATGGATAACATTAATTGTAAAGTTCAAAACTTTAATAACTTGTTGCTGGCTTTATTTGACAGACATGCCCCTTTAACCGTAAGGAGGTTTACCAAAAAGGTCGTACCTTGGTTAACACCAAATATTAAATTGCTTATGGACGAACGTGATAGGGCAAAGAATAAATACAAGCGTACTCGTTCAGGTGCTGATTGGGTTGCTTATAAGGAGCTGAGGAATTTTACTACAACCTGCATTAGAAGAGAAAGAAAATCATATCTGGAATTTTTATATCAGACGTCTCGGGGTGCTGAACTGTGGAAACAATTGAATCATTTGGGTATTTGTGGTACGAAATGTTCACAGCAAATCCCTGCTCACTTGAATCGACCAGATGAGGTTAACGATTTCTTTATTGATTCAGTCCCTTCTTTGAACCTTGCAACGCGTTTCAGTTTTAATGACTTACCGCCTTTAAATTTGATTCAAACTAATTTTAAGTTTGTCTTTGTATCCGAAGCTGATGTAATAAAAGCTATTTCCTCAATTTCTTCTAGAGCTGCCGGTGCTGATAATATCAGTATGAGTATGTTGAATATGTGTCTTCCATTTATATTACCCTACTTGACACATTTACTCAATGTTTGCATTGAAACTTCGGATGTACCTGACTGTTGGAAGTTGTCAATTGTGGTTCCTATCCCGAAAAAACGTGACCCATCTGAGCCTAAAGATCTGCGGCCGATTAGCATATTGCCAATTTTATCTAAAGTTCTGGAAAGAATTATGTTTAATCAGTTGCATCAATTTGTTCAAATTAATAATATTTTACCGAAGCATCAATCTGGTTTTCGTAGAAACCATAGCTGCAGTACTGCTCTTCTCAAGGTAACTAATGATATTTTACAGGCTCGAGATAAAGGATTATGTACGTTGGTAGTCTTGTTGGATTTTAGTAGAGCTTTTGATAGTGTTTGTCATGATTTGCTTGTGGAATTGTTAAAGTATATTGGCTTCAGTGAATCCGCTTTAAACTTAATTGAAAATTATTTAAGTAATAGGCATCAGTCGGTTAGAATCGGTGATGCTTTGTCTGAATTTCGCTGTTTGAGCAAGGGTGTACCACAAGGTACTATTTTAGGGCCTATTCTATTTTCTTTATATACATCTCAAATCGTTAGGGGGTTAAATCATTGTGAGTACCATATGTATGCGGATGACTTGCAGATGTATGTTTCCTTTGATCCACGCGACTTCGCGTTGGGTATTACGAATATGCAAAAAGACCTTGATTACATTCATAAAGTGGCTCGGGAATACGGTCTACATCTTAATCCGAGTAAATCCAATGCTATACTTTTTGGAAATTCCGCTATATGTAATAGTTTTCGGGAAAGTATTGATTTGCAAATTGATAGTTGTAACATTCCTTTGGTTAGTGAGGTAAAGAATTTGGGTATGATTATGGACAACAGTTTTCGTTATAAGAAGCATGTCTCCAACTGTATATCCAGGGCTTATTATCATCTGAGGATGTTGTTTCCTCATCGACACTACCTTGGTATTCATCTGAAAAAGGTGTTAGCGATGTAACACGTATTCAACGAGTGCAAAATTCGTGTCTTCGGTATATATATGGAATTAGAAAATATAACCGAATATCTTATAAACTGAAGGATGCGGAATGGCTAAATATGTATCATCGTAGGAAAGTGCAGTGTTTGTGCCTATACCATAAAATTATAAACTACAAGGAACCACAGTATCTCTACCAACTGATAACTTTCCGAAATGATGTCCACCGAATAAATACGCGATTTCGCGGAAGACTGTCGCCACCCTTCTATCGTTTGTCTTTGTTTCAGAGATCATACATATTTCAAATAACTTCGAAATATAATGAGGTGGACGATAATTGCAAGGGGTTCTCACTACGAAGGTTTAAACTTACACAGAAATATTCTTGTTTTCTTGAACAATGTCTACATGGGGGCAAACGCTGATCTGACATGTTTTGCAATCTTGTTGTTGTATCTA